CTACATTGAGCTACCGTGCCAAACATGGACACTATCTACGCAAAATCACCACCTTCACGGTGATGTGCCTGAGAAAAAGCTGCCAACCTAACCATACGAGATTGAGTAAATAATGAAACTATCAGGCAAATTGTGGGAACGACACCTTGTACTAGATTCTTTGAGAAACAGCAGATCAAGTGGTTTGGCCATCTCGTTAGAATGCAGCAAGATCAAATACCATCACAAGCAATACATCTCAGAATATCAACTACAAGAGCAAGAGGACGGTCGCGGAAAACATGGAACGACAACATTAAAGACACCCTACGCCTTCACGGCATGACAATAGCCAGTGGCAACCAACGTGCACTGGATCGCAAATTATTCCTCCCCACGACGTTTAACTGCAGAAATGGTTTATGATGATGATGATGATTTTGCATAAAACACTCAATTATTAGTGACAGGATCGATTCTCACTATGCGGATCGAATACAAACACGTTATTGACACTGTAGAAAGCTCAGAAGACGACATTGACGATTTTCTATAATCATTTAGACATGGCTTTTGATCAGTGCAATAATTTTGAAGTAACAATAATAATGAGAGATATCAATGCAAAAGCTAGAAGTGAAACAGTATGCGGAGTAACTCGTGGCTATGGTCTAGGAGGAAAGAAGGGGAGAGCTGAACGATAAATAACTTGGGCTGAGTCACACAATATTAAAATTGCTAACACCTGGCTTGAACACCATCATTGTGGACTTAGATGTCCTGGCGATAATGTCCCTAATCAGATCAACAATGCAATATGCTGCGCGAGTCAATTCAGCAGACATCAGAACAGCTTATTCCTCCAACACATAAGAGTTGCAAAAAAGAAATGAATGACGAATAAAATTCTAGAAGGAAGAAAAAGAAAGATAAAATAGAATATTATAGTATACATAAAGAAACAGTGAATAAATGCAAAGATGCTAAAGAAACCTGGATAAATCATACGTGCACAAAGATTTGGAAAAATCACGGGAATGACTCACTTTCCATGCAAGAACAGAAAAGCATATTAACATGGAAGAAGAGGTACAAAATCAGTAGATGTTTAAAATAAAAATAAAAAGGTGAAATATTATTGAAAAGATGAACAGAGTACTTGGGAGGACTGTATGGTGATAACAGACCAGAAGTATATTTGCAGGACAACAATAAAGGCCCGCCAATACTGGCTGCAGAAGTTTAAGGATGTATTGCATTACATGAGGAAACAAAAGGCACCTGAGCCAGACAACATCCCATTGGAAGAAATTGAAGCTTTCTGTCATTTTAGAATTTAAATAATAACAAAAATATTATATGACATTTATAAAAGTGGGTACATCCCTAATGACCTATTAAATTTTATATTGCTCTGGCAAAGAAACCAGGCACTTTAAAATGTAAAGACAATCGCACCATAAGTCTTAGGAGTCATGTGAATAAATGTTGCTGAGATTAATGATGTAGAACAAGAAAACAAGATTGAACCAGAAATTATAGACGAGGAGTGTGGATTTGTGGAAGGAAAAGGATACAAGCAATGCCATACACATCATGAGGGCTCTTTCGGGAAACGCTATAGAAGTTTTTGTAAACGATCTTACTTATGCTGCATTCACTCTGCGAAAGCATTTGATTGCGTGAAACATGCAAAAATAATAAATCTAATGGAAAAGTTAAACATTGTTGGAAAGATTTACAAATTATAAATAATTAAGCAGCAAATAGCAGCTATAAGAATTCATAACCCAGTTGGGAACATTTGCGAGTATAACGACGGGAGTAAGACAAGGATGCCTACTACCACCTGGTTTGTTTTCATTGTGCCGTGAATATATAATGAGATCTATCATAGATATGCCAGGAATTGCGGGGGGGGGGGGGGGGTTGTTCATAACATAAACAACTTGCGTTATGATGATGACACCGTCTTGATAGCGTCAAGTCAGAAAGGACTACAGGAAATAATAGATGCGTTGGTTGAACACTTTAGAGAAAGCACACAAAAGATCCTGACATCCACCCCCCCCCCCGCACCTTTTCCTACCCACCCCCGCCTCTCCCAAAAACTTAGATGGTGTCACTGGAAAAGACAAGCAGATGCAGTTAAACAGATGCTATCTGTATATGTCATCATTTGTATCGGGCAGCGCCATGTTGTTCTGTATCTGTCATAGCTTGTATCTGGCAGCACCATGTTGTTCTGTATCTGTCATGGCTTGTATCTGGCAGCGCCATGTTGTTCTGTATCTGTCATAGCTTGTATCTGGCAGCACCATGTTGTTCTGTATCTGTCATGGCTTGTATCTGGCAGCACCATGTTGTTCTGTATCTGTCATAGCTTGTATCTGGCAGCGCCATGTTGTTCTATATCTGTCATAGCTTGTATCTGGCAGCGCCATGTTGTTCTGATCTGTCATGGCTTGTATCTGGCAGCGCCATGTTGTTCTATATCTGTCATGGCTTGTATCTGGCAGCGCCATGTTGTTCTGTATTTGTCATGGCTTGTATCTGGCAGCGCCATGTTGTTCTGTATCTGTCATAGCTTGTATCTGGCAGCGCCATGTTGTTCTATATCTGTCATGGCTTCTATCTGGCAGCGCCATGTTGTTCTTTATTTGTCATGGCTTGTATCTGGCAGCGCCATGTTGTTCTATATCTGTCATGGCTTCTATCTGGCAGCGCCATGTTGTTCTGTATCTGTCATGGCTTGTATCTGGCAGCGCCGAGTTGTTCTGTATCTGCCATGGCTTGTATCTGGCAGCGCCATGTTGTTCTATATCTGTCATGGCTTGTATCTGGCAGCGCCATGTTGTTCTTTATTTGTCATGGCTTGTATCTGGCAGCGCCATGTTGTTCTATATCTGTCATGGCTTGTATCTGGCAGCGCCATGTTGTTCTTTATTTGTCATGGCTTGTATCTGGCAGCGCTATGTTGTTCTGTATCTGTCATGGCTTGTATCTGGCAGCGCCATGTTGTTCTATATCTGTCATGGCTTGTATCTGGCAGCGCCATGTTGTTCTATATCTGTCATAGCTTGTATCTGGCAGCGCCATGTTGTTCTGATCTGTCATGGCTTGTATCTGGCAGCGCCATGTTGTTCTGTATCTGTCATAGCTTGTATCTGGCAGCGCCATGTTGTTCTATATCTGTCATAGCTTGTATCTGGCAGCGCCATGTTGTTCTGATCTGTCATGGCTTGTATCTGGCAGCGCCATGTTGTTCTGTATTTGTCATGGCTTGTATCTGGCAGCGCCATGTTGTTCTGTATCTGTCATGGCTTGTATCTGGCAGCGCCATGTTGTTCTATATCTGTCATGGCTTGTATCTGGCAGCGCCATGTTGTTCTTTATTTGTCATGGCTTGTATCTGGCAGCGCCATGTTGTTCTATATCTGTCATGGCTTCTATCTGGCAGCGCCATGTTGTTCTATATCTGTCATGGCTTGTATCTGGCAGCGCCATGTTGTTCTTTATTTGTCATGGCTTGTATCTGGCAGCGCCATGTTGTTCTATATCTGTCATGGCTTCTATCTGGCAGCGCCATGTTGTTCTGTATCTGACATGGCTTGTATCTGGCAGCGCCATGTTGTTCTATATCTGTCATGGCTTGTATCTGGCAGCGCCATGTTGTTCTTTATTTGTCATGGCTTGTATCTGGCAGCGCCAGGTTGTTCTATATCTGTCATGGCTTCTATCTGGCAGCGCCATGTTGTTCTATATCTGTCATGGCTTGTATCTGGCAGCGCCATGTTGTTCTTTATTTGTCATGGCTTGTATCTGGCAGCGCCATGTTGTTCTATATCTGTCATGGCTTCTATCTGGCAGCGCCATGTTGTTCTTTATCTGTCATGGCTTGTATCTGGCAGCGCCATGTTGTTCTGTATCTGTCATGGCTTCTATCTGGCAGCGCTATGTTGTTCTGTATCTGTCATGGCTTGTATCTGGCAGCGCCATGTTGTTCTGTATCTGACATGGCTTGTATCTGGCAGCGCCATGTTGTTCTGTATTTGTCATGGCTTGTATCTGGCAGCGCCATTTTGTTCTGTATTTGTCATGGCTTGTATCTGGCAGCGCCATGTTGTTCTTTATTTGTCATGGCTTGTATCTGGCAGCGCCATGTTGTTCTGTATCTGTCATCACGGTTACGCACCTAACACATCCGTGACCCTGCAAATTTCCCTGCTTCTGTAACGATATCGCCTTAGATTGATTCAAAAGAGGGCAAATGGCAACGCCCAGACACACGCACGCACGCACACACACAAGAAATATCGGACGTTTTTGCACAAACCACCACCGCCGCAACAAGTGATAGAGTGCCCTGACCACACGTCGAAAAGTCCGGTTAGTCCACTGTGTATGTGTTGTTCCTCTTCCTCCCTTCGTTAGTTTCTCTGTTGTCTGGATTCATTTCTTGGTATTGGTTTGACTGGACTCCCTTCTGTTTTTATCACAAGAGTTCATATACAAATATAGACGTGTTGAGGTCAGCCTTATATTGTCCTGGGAGCTTCCCGTTCAATTTTCCTTCAGATTACCCCACGATTTTTTCCCAATGTCGCTTTGTGCCAGATTCCCGAAGAAACATAAGTCGAACGGCTTCAAAGGCTCTAAAATGAGTATTCTTCTGCAGCATTTATTTGTTGTCGCAGCTTTTCCCGACTAAAACCACCAGCTGTGACCATTGAAGGCATATATACACATGGCTTTGCTGACGTAGTCGTTACAATGATCGATCGATCAGTGTCTCCCTTCCCGGCTACTTCCTACAGGTTGACCATTCTATCATGAGATTTGCACATCTAAGTCTTCACGGAAGAGCAACAACGCAGATCTCGGGATACCCTGTTCAACCTCCATAAAGTTATAGTTAGGCCACCCGTAACGACTACTACAGGTACGCGTAACCGGCACTCTTGTTTGGGTAAAGGTGTGGTTACAACAGAGAAGGACCGTTTTACGTGGTTCAGACTTACATGCACAGATGCACCAGAGGATCGCCAGGCACCCAGTCCTGGCTGACGAGGCCCGGGACATGGTCAGCTATCAGATCCGGCAGTCGCTTTGGTCAGCTCCCGGATGTGTGATGACGTCAGGTGGGTTCAAGGTCACTGCCAAGGAAAACCCATGTTACTGGCACGTTTTTTTCCGCATTTGTTCAATGTATAATAATAATAATGATGATGATTGATGTTAATAATAATAATAATAATAATAATAATAATAATAATAATAATTGTTGTGATAAAAATTGAAGGTACCAACTATCTTTATAGTCAAAGGGTTAAGAATAGGGCACGCAGGCCCGTGCAACATTCTGCCTGTTTAGCCTCACTCCGTGCAAAGTTATTTATCAATATACCATTTCAAATATAATAATAAAAATTATTAAATAAATGTGAGAACTAATTAGGACCGCTGAAATGAGCTCTAATGATACTCAGACGAACACACAATTATTCATAGAATATTTATAAATCTCATCTAATAATGACATCAATCTAAAATAGGTAATATTAAACCAACAAAAACTAAATACAAATAACAAACGCAGGAGCTAAGTGCTCCCTCTAAACATATGGAACACAACACTAGAGGTACATAAGGCAGCAGTCAAACCATATACCTGGCGCTTGTCTTCTGGCGGATGCATAGATGTAGCTAGGGTATTTGGTGCCCAAGGAATAAAAGGGCGGAGGGGTGGCTGTCCAGAATTTGTTTGCAAGGAAAATTCAAAGGATAGTAAAATGTACTTGGTGTTGACTGTTGAAGTGTGTAATTTGCGCAGTGATAACTCAGCGTTCACTGTACTCTGTCATTCATGTCTTCTTTTGCCTTCTATCCCCCAGTGGAGCATAGGCTGTCATCCTACTCACGCCAGGCCGTTCTATCCTCCAATGGAGCATAGGCTGTCAACCCACTCACGCCGTTCTATCCCCCAGTGGAGCATAGGCTGTCAACCCACTCACGCCGTTCTATCCCCCAGTGGAGCATAGGCTGTCAACCCACTCACGCCGTTCTATCCCCCAGTGGAGCATAGGCTGTCAACTCACTCACTCCACTCTTCCTATTGCGTGCAGCTCTTCCCGTGTCCTCCCCGCCTTTGTAACTTCACTTTGTAGGCACCTTCTCCGTGTTGTAATTGGTCTTCCTTTATTCCTATACCCCTGTGGGTTCCGGTGCAAAGAAATTCTAGTTATATTGTTTTCAGGTTTCCTCAAGATGTTTCTTATCCACTGCTAGCGTCTTTTCTTCACCTCCTGGTAAACCGGAACTTGTTTATTTCTCCTCAAAAGTTGTAAATTAGTGATTATATCATGCCATAAAATTGCCCTGTTCTGCTTAGGCACCAGTTGGTGTTTGTAATGTATGACTAATTGCCTTGGCTGTTTTGGTGTTTCCGCGCCACACAGCCGTGCTGATCTGACATCAGATTGACACATTCCATGTTTAGTATTAGTTATCATTTTCTTTTTAAGCTCCACAAATCTCCTAGTGTTGTGAAAGCTCCGGTTGTCTTTTGCATCCGTATTTTAATATCTCTATCAGTTCTCTCAGTTTTATCTACATTACTGCCCAAATATGTGTACGACTCCACGTCTTGGAGTTTGCAGCCATAGCTACTGAGTTCAGTGCTCCTGGCGGCACTATGAGCTGTGACTAGCGGTTATTGACTGGGTTCCAGATTGGTGCAAGATGGCAATGATGGATGATGCATTTTTTCCGTTGTGTTCCTGGGACAAGGCGTGAGTTATAGCTGCTATTTATTTGCTGGCTGAGGACATGTGGAAAATGGTAGGAATAGTTGTAATCTACATATTCGTTGAATGAAGTTGATTTTCAACGATGACGCCTGGTCTCGCAGTGTGTTTAAGGAGACATGCACTTTATGGTTTGCCAGATCAAATCGCGTGTGTTTTGCTGACTGGGGACACTTTGTATGGCTACGGCATACACTTCAAGTATCCATCGTATCTGACTCAGTTTGTGACTGGAATCACTGGTTGAGCAATTATGGGCCAAGCTCGTTTGTTGTAATGCCGGAACCGTAACGACTAACGGCGACTAGCGTCTTGGATTGAGGTGCCGTCAGGGCAAAAACCACATCACTATTTGCCTGATACGTTCTCATTATCATTGTCTTTCAGACCTAGATGTTGTGATCTCGCATCAAGTGTATTTAATTTATCTTGCATCTGATTCCGTGAATGGGACAGAAGAAAAATATCATCAGCGAAATCCAGAGCATCAAGCTGTTTTGTAGGGTCCGCTTAATTCCATTCCTGGTGTTAGCTGTTACTGTCTTGTTTACCAATCCTATTCTAGTTCCGGTTGGTCACGTGACTACGGTGAGCTTCCGGCGGTCAAAACCACGCCCTTCAGTAGCTATAAATTACAGTCTAAAGATGGAAGTACCAAAACACACACACGTCACACACGATGTGTCGAGAGAAACTATTCGCATTTCAGTTGGATTTATTCAGTGTTGTGCTTCATTTTGTGTTGATGTAACTCTGTAGTAATGCACCTGACGAGACACAGCGAAATATGCCCTGCAATAAAATTTGCAATATATTGTTTGTGGCTGCATTATTGAAACCAAGTCTCCCAGTACCAAAGCTAGGCAACGAAAAAACATTGGCGTCGCACACGTGTTTTTGTTTGAATTCACTCAGCGACCCGTCAAGTTCGACTTGAACCGGTGTATCTTTTAGGAATTGGGGATTTTTGGGCTGACGGGGAGGGAGGGCCATGAAAATGAGCGTCGGCTTCCATGTATGTACACTGGTCGGTTAGGGTTATGGTTAGGGTTAAATGCAGGAATGCTGACAGGTCAGGGAAGTTACGAAGTAAAAACAGAGCACAGTGATGGCGTCGATAGCGACACACGAATAAAAGTAACACACCCCGGAAATGATAACACAATAAATGATGAACACGCTGAAAACAGCCAACACTTGACACGACTAGAGAATAGCAGTTTTAGTGTCTTAGGGTTACTAAACACCGACTAACACTGACCCTAACACTAACCCCTCCTATACTTCTAGGACTTTCTAGGAAACTCCCTATAACTCCCTACCAAATCTCTCCGCTGACGAGATAGGACGAAAAAGCTTAGATGAACCTAATAATAATAGTATAATTATGTATCATATCAAAGAGGCTTGAGTGCCTTGAAATCCACCCTAGAAAATTACAAAGGAGTTCAACCCCTGCCCTCTCCCCCTTTGGGGGGAGGGGGGTGCCACAGATGTCTTGGTTGCGGCGCGCCAGGCGAAAGCTTCCTGCTGTTGGTAACCCAGTTTACACAAGTTTAAATGAAAGCGAACTAACTACTATATAACAACTGATTTACACACGTACAAAGATAAACGCTTTTACTTTTACTTTTCGCACTGACTTGTAAACGATGTCCCGTAAAGAATAATTATTCATCAAGTCTGGTCCCAACAATCTTTATGACCGTCCGTCACGAAGCGTCCTGGCAAGAAAAGCGCCCATATTGCCGGGCCAGAAGTCGCCTACTTTGCCGTGATCAATAGAAACGTTTTGTCGCGGCCCACACTGAAGCTACCAATGAGAATAGGCTGTTTCTTGATCTGGCGCTCAAGTCGGAACATCCGCCCACCAGCCGATGTCTGTTGTGTCGCTTCTTGAATGTGTCAGCGGGTTGTGAACCAGGAACATTTGACCGAAAACGAATTCCGAATGCACAACAGCAGCAGCGCCAGTAGCAGTAGAAGGATCAGCAGCGCCAGTAGTAGTAGCAGGTTCAGCAGCGCCAGTAGTAGTAGCAGGTTCAGCAGCGCCAGTAGTAGTAGCAGAATCAGCAGCGCCAGTAGTAGTAGCAGGATTAGCAGCGCCAGTAGTAGTAGCAGGATCAGCAGCAGCAAAAGTAGTAGTAGTAGCAGCATCATCGCAGTACTAGTAGTAGTAGCAACAGCAGCAACAGTAGTAGTAGTAGCAGCAGACAAGTAGTAGTAGTAGCGGCAGCAGCAACAGTAGTAGTAGTAGCAGCATCATCAACAGTAGTAGTAGTCGCAGTACTAGTAGTAGTAGCAGCAACAGCAACAGTAGTAGTAGTAGCAGCAGACAAGTAGTAGTAGTAGTAGCGGCAGCAGCAACAGTAGTAGTAGTAGAAGCAGCAACAGTAGTAGTAGTAGTAGCAGCAAGAGTAGTAGTAGCAGCAGCAAGAGTAGTAGTAGTAGCCGCAACAGTAGTAGTAGCAGCAGCAGCGACAATAGTACTAGTAGCAGCAAAAGACAACTGGATTACGTTATAACAGCGGAACAATATGTGGAAAGAGAGACAGTGGAACAATTTGTGGAAAGAGAGACAGAGGAAGACAATATGAGAACATTCACGAGAGACTTTTGCCATGCCATGCAGTCTGTCAACATATAAACTGATCCACACAGTTGCTGATCGCAGGTCACTGAGAGACATGATCGCCTGCACCAGTCGGCAAGGCACTTGTGATTCACATTCCTTGACTTTCGAGTCTATTTATTTAGAATAAGACAAACAGATATGTTGAAGCTAACCACTTGATGCGGATAAGGAAAGAGGACACGAAAAAACAATCTGCAACGAAAACTAAGTATTTTCTTAAAGTCATGAAATTGCTGGTTAAACTCAGTATGTAGTAAATACAACATAAAGATAAATGCAAACAAAACCGAAACAATGCAAGTTAGCAGAACCCCTGCCCCACTACACATACAGCTGAATGGTTCTGCCCTGAATCAAGTTAGGGAGTTTAAATATCTATGAAGTATGACCACAGAAGATGGTAGAATTGACAGAGAAATAGAAACCAGATGTCAGAAAGCAAGTGCACTTATATACCAATTGTCACCATTATTAAGACATTCAAGCATTACTATGAGTGCAAAGAGACAGATTATTAATAGCATATTCATTTCAACATTAAGCTACTAGTGCCAAACATGGACACTATTTAAAGCCCATGTACGCAAAATCACCACCTGCGAGATGAGGTGCCTGAGAAAAGCAGCTAACCTAACTATACG